TGTCTTCCTACAACCTGTCCTCCTACAACCTGTCCTCCTACAACCTGTCCTCCTACAATCTGTCCTCCTATAACCTGTCCTCCTACAACCTGTCCTCCTACAACCTGTCCTCCTACAACCTGTCCTCCTACAACCTGTCCTCCTACAACCTGTCACCCTACAACCTGTCCTCCTACAACCTGTCCTCCTACAACCTGTCACCCTACAACCTGTCCTCCTACAACCTGTCCTCCTACAACCTGTCCTCCTACAAAGAACGTCGCATTTCCCTCGTATGCGTTACACAAAGCCCAACAAAATCGTCGTACTAGAAAAATGGAGCGACTGACGAAAATATCGTATACTGTCACGTTTTCTGTTTTAGGTCCTCTGGTAGATTAGGAGACGACATTTTAACTTGACCGTTTTCTTTACGTCGGGGGAAACCTTAGGAGGACGGACTGGACAATTAGCCGACGTTGTCCATACCTCAGAATGGTATAGATCCTTATCTTCCTCACTCAGGCGAACTTGTAACCAGCTCCGATATGGTATTTTACATGTATTTGGTTCACTGGTAAGATCATTTAACCCAAAAATTAACTAAAAATAAAAGTAATCAGAGTTTCAGACAAAAGATTTCCAGTAAATGTAGTCTGTAATGGACTACTCAAATAAGAATTAATGTGACTTGAGAAATGCAATAATTGGAGGGGTTCCGCAGGGGTTAATTTTGGGGCCAATCCTTTTTTTTTTCGTCCAGTGACATACACGAAACTATTACAAAATCACATTAGATTTGCAGCTGACACTAAGATCTGTGGAGGTGAAAATAATATTACAAAGATGTGTTCATAAACTCCACAAATGGTCGAAGACTGGCAAATGGTTTTTCTAAATAATGAAAAAAGGCAAAACCTTGCATGTGTGGGGGGGGGGGGTATGGGGGGTATGGGGGGGGGGGTGTGACAGCGCACATCACAGCTACCAAATCAACAATATTTCCTTGCAAAAATATTTAGGAAGAAAGCGATCTTCAGAGCCAGAATGCATCCATGACTAAAGGTTGCACAACAAGTGGCGTGAGGCGCAATTTGGGATGCGTGATAACATGATGTACTGTTTAACGTAACGACGCACTCGTTAACGTAACGTCCGTTAACAACGTAAATACCCGGGTGGCGTTAGTGTGGCGTCGATATGTGCGTTTTAAAACCCGTCCTCTCCAGTTGTCACATTGCAATATGTGAAAATATATATATATATATTTAATTATTACATACTAAAATTGCTCGAGCCTTAGCTAACCGATGGACCCGCAAATAGAAAACGTAGCCAGGTTTTGTACACAATATTGATTTACTTCTGAAAAAATACAAAATGAAGCCCTCTGAATTATACTTGGTGATCCAGGAACCACCAAAGTTCTCAGTATGCGGGAAGTTCTAATATACCTAGCATTCCAGATAGAATATTTGAAATCAGTCTTTTGGTGGGACTAAAGCTTCTGCGTGATAACCGAACCATTGTGTTAGTTGAACTGTTAGAACACATACACAGTGGAACTAGTCATTTAAGATGGATTCAAAGATTCACTCATATTAAAATGATGGGACTGCACGATGTATATACAGATGAAAGAGTACAGCACTTCCTTGCACCCTGGCAGATAGTACCTTTTCGCATCCTGAGTCCATTGTTCGTCACAACGAAATCCAACAAAACATGTGTATGGGGCAAGTAACAACATCAGCAGACTTGTAACAACATCAGCAGACTTGTAACAACATCAGCAGACTCACAGACGTTGTCACAGCTCGACTACACCTTGGCTACAAGTATCTCTGACAGTTCGGCTTGTATAGGGATCTCGATGAAGCAAAGTGTAAAGTGTGTGTACAAAGGAATGCACACTTGAGCATTATATCTTAGACTGGGATAAAATTGAGCTATTTAGAGATAAGTCTAAACTTAGGCTTCATAGAATGGCGAACCATCTTATTACTGAACGGGGTGAGAATAGCTTCAGCTACCTCATCCCTTTGTGGGTTTTTACCTCAATAAACTTATTTCAATTTCAATTTCATCTTATTACTAAGGATAACCCCGGGATAGGGGGTCTCGGTAGTAGAGTCGGATTCGTTCTCGACGCACAATTGAGATTTCCGGGTTCGAATCTCGGGCGGGTCAGAAATGGTTGGGCACATTTCTTTTCACCTAATGCCTCTGTTCACCTGGCAGTAAGTAGGTACTCAGGAGTTAGTCAGCTTGTTGTGGGGTTGCATCCTGGGTGGGGGGGGGGTCAGTAATTCGTCATTGGGGGGGGGGAGGGGCTAGATATAAGCCTATCGTGTATGAATACACTCTGGCATCCTGTCCCCCGCCACACTGAATTATAATTAAAGATATCTGAATTAAGATATCTGAAATTCTTGCATTGTATCCATATCTCGCCTCCAGTAGATAAACAACATAAGAGGTTAAGGAACAAGCAACGTATCTTGAGGTTATCTTGAGATGATATCGGGGCGATATCGTCCCCGCGGCCCGGTCCTCGACCAGGCCTCCTTTTTGTTACAACCCCCCCCACCCCCCCAGGAAGCAGCCCGTAGCAGCTGTCTAACTCCCAGGTACCTATTTTATGCTAGGTAACAGCAGCATTAGGGCAAAAGAAACTTTTTGCCCATTTGTCTCCGCCTCCACCGGGGATCGAACCCGGAACCTCAGGACTACGAATCCGAAGCGCTGTCCACTCAGCTGTCAGGCGCAGTGTGAAAACTAATAATAATAAACGGAAGCTTTCTTATCACACTTCCATAGTTCTTGAGATGATTTCGGGGCTTCAGTGTCCCCGCGGCCCGGTCCTCGACCAGGCCTCCACCCCCAGGAAGCAGCCCGTGACAGCTGACTAGCACCCAGGTACCTATTTTACTGCTAGGTAACAGAGGCATAGGGTGAAAGAAACTCTGCCCATTGTTTCTCGCCGGCGTCTGGGATTGAACCCAGGACCACAGGATCACAAGTCCAGCGTGCTGTCCGCTCGGCCGACTGGCTCTCGTAGATAGATGTGTAGGCCGCCGCTGCATTCTCGCCGCTCCAAGCAACAGCCTGGTGGACCAAACTCTCGCAAGTCAAGCCTGGCCTCGGGCCGGGCTTGGGGAGTAGAAGAACTCCCAGAACCCCATCAACCAGGTATATGTGGGCCTGCGGGCCACTCCAAGCAACAGCCTGGTGGACCAAACTCTCACAAGTCAAGCCTGGCCTCGGGCCGGGCTTGGGGAGTAGAAGAACTCCCAGAACCCCATCAACCAGGTATATGTGGGCCTGAGGGCCGCTCCAAGCAACAGCCTGGTGGACCAAACTCTCACAAGTCAAGCCTGGCCTCGGGCCGGGCTTGAGCAGTAGAAGAACTCCCAGAACCCCATCAACCAGGTATCAACCAGGTATCAACCAGGATAGATGTAATTGTTAATGTAATAATCTTCGTTGAGGTCTGATAAAGACCTTTTGTGCCCTTTGTAACCCTTTTTGCACTACTGCTCGCAGGATGAGTATGGGGTGCACAATAAAGCAGCCGCGTTTGGACTTTGTTTTTGGTGGGTATGTGGGCCTGCGGGCCGCTCCAAGCAACAGCCTGGTGGACCAAACTCTCACAAGTCAAGCCTGGCCTCGGGCCGGGCTTGGGGAGTAGAAGAACTCCCAGAACCCCATCAACCAGGTATCAACCAGGTACCAACCAGGTAACGCGTCCGGCGGCCACCATAAAACAACCACTGCTTCACAGCGCCTTCAAACTCTTGTCGTAAACGATACTGTAAACAGGTATTTTACCTGTTTTCTACCTGTTGATGGTTCCGAGGATCAATGTCCCTGAGGCCCGGTCTCGGACCAAGCCTAATTTTCTTACAGACTTTGTTTTTCTGTCTAGAAAGACAGTTAGGAAGATGGTAACATTATAATGACTATGGTCGAGCCGGTCGGCCGAGCGGACAGCACACTGGACTTGTGATCCTGTGGTCCTGGGTTCGATCCCTGGCGCCGGCGAGAAACAATTTGCAGAGTTTCTTTCACCCTATGCCTCTGTTACCTAGCAGTAACATAGGTACCTGGGTGTTAGTCAGCTGTCACGGGCTGCTTCCTGGGGGTGGAGGCCTGGTCGAGGACCGGGCCGCGGGGACACTAAAGCCCCGAAATCATCTCAAGATAACCTCAAGATGGTATCAAGAGCTGGGCAAGGCGAGACATTTGCTGGACCTACTGGTGACAACGGAGGCTGTTGGGCAGCCTGGCGGCAAGCGTTGGGGAATTGTAAGAATGGCTTAGGTAATTAGTGTCGCCCACCTGGGTATGGGATGGTGGGGGGGGGGAGGGGTGATAAAGAGAGTTGGGGGGAGGGGGGGGGGGAGGAGGAACGCTGTACAGCACTAAGGTTCCTCTGTGGCTTGGTGGGCTCTCAAGGTCTCCACTCTCTCTTACCGGAGTCATGCAAGTCAAAGGCTTCCATGCCTGCAAATATCTCTCCAGACTTGAGCCGGCCGACGTTTCACTCTTCTCCCATTTATAATTACAGTCTTTTATATTTTCCGTTCGCTGTGACTACTTTGTGATTTTCGGAAATCACCACATGTGTTAACCCTGTATACCTTGCAAGATTAAGTCACTTTGTTTAATCGTATTATAAGACGGTAAACTCGACCAGAGAGGCATGCCATTACGTGGAGGTTGATCAAGCACTTCACTTATGTAGACTATTAACATTTCTTGGCTTATTATTTGTCTGTTTATCACTGTAAGTGTGTCTCGACCCCCTCACATTGTGTGGTCTTTGCCTGTAATTGTTGATATACACACAAGTTCTCTTCACCGCGGCATAGACTCCCTCAAGATCCACAACATATAACACTTCTCTACCGCCGAGGATTTTCTCCATTTGGTTGTAAATGACAATTTTGGTTAATTCAAGAGTCCCAAGCGAGACCATTTTTGCAAGGAGGAGAGAGCATGTGGTGGTCAATACTCACATATCTGCCGCGGCCACACCTGGTAATGAAGGGATGACAGGGTGTGCGAGAGGGACGTGTGGGCGGACGGGAGGCGAGCGTGGTAGTCCGCACCGCACAGAGTGGTGAGCGCAACTGGCGGCGGCTGCGGCAGGGGCCAGGGGCAGGGGAGAGGCCTCAACCGTTGCCGGCGGCTTCCCGACACCAATATGGTGGAGCACAACCCTGCTGGCCTCTCCGCCTTGCACACACCTCCGCTCTCACGCTCCTCTACTGCCTCCGATAAGGTTCCGCCTTCCGGAAATATCCCATTCACCAAGCTGACGGTTCGGTGTTTCCAGAAGGATACCTAGAAGCGCCTGGCGATCAGACGGGTTCTGTCGGGAAGGGTCTTACTCAGCAGGAAATTTAGGTCTACCTGGGTCAGTTGCAAGAGTGTGTTCTTGCGCGAAAGGTGTTGAGAGAAGAGTGTGGTTGAGGGAGGGCGTCGTGGGCCCCGCAGGAGGTAGAAGGGCGCGACGGCTGCATCTGGGCTGCGGCTGCACGTCCCAGAGCCGCCTCAAGGAAGCCAGCAGGCAGCAGCAGCAGCGGTTGCCTGCTTCATGATAATAAACACTTAGCGGTTGGCGGATGACTCGCCTTTCCTCTGGCTGCCTCGCCCAATTACTTCATCACTTAGCCCTCATTAGCTGCAGTTGAAGAACACTTGCCCGGACGGCCCCTTGCTGCGCCGGACCTCCACACCCTCCAATTCCGGATCAAACTTATCAAACATGTTTCCATTGGCAGCATTGACGTCACAGCTTGACTCATGCATGCCAAGATATTGTTTATCCAGATTCCCGGCTCTGCCCCTCCTCTGTTCCCTGCCCTCTCACCCCCACCACTGTGGCTGCTCCTAATTGATTGCCCATAAATACCGTCTTGAAGGACCTGTGCTGCAAGCTTGGCATCGCCTCTGGGGATTAGCATCATTGCAGAGTTATTTACGGGAGATACCGTGACGTCTGCTACAGCTGAGGACGAGAGAGGGACGCCATGGCAGGCTGGAGGAACAGGAGCAGACTGCAGACAGGCGGGTAGCCAACACCAGCCGTCTGCGGCCACCTGCTGCTGCTGCTGCTGTCCCTCCTTCACCTTCCTCAACTTGACACTTTTCTGCACCACGCCCACACACCCACCCACGTCACGCCCCCCCCCCCACACACACCCACATGTGACATTTCCGTGTGCTTCGCCCGCATAACTGCACATGGCACTCCTCCATCACACACATATGACTTTTTGCACCATGGTAGTACATTCACCCACACACATGACATTTCCTTGCACTACGCCCCACACACGTGACATGAGGGCTCGGGATGTACCCCTGCAACCCCAGCCCCTTGCCTCACAACCCCAGCCCTCGCCTCACAACCCCACCCCTCGCCTCACAACCCCACCCCTCGCCTCACAACTCCAGCCCTCGCCTCACAACCCCAGCCCCTCGCCTCACAACCCCAACCCTCGCCTCACAACCCCAACCCTCGCCTCACAACCTCACCTATAAAAGACATACAGGTGCAGCTGTCCCCCCAACTTACATCACAGGTGAGTGACTGACCACAGGTGAAGGTTTAGCGGGCCGAGGCTTAACATTTTTGTGAATGGACATTAAAAGATGAATGGTGGGATGGGGGGGGGGGCCGTGTCTACCCCTTCCCTTCCCATCCCTCCCGCCAACCCCCCTCCACCGTCAACCTATATATCGGGGCAGCCTTGCCCCACCTCACCACCGCCCTACCTGGCTCTTCTCCAACACCCCCTTCGTCAGTATCCGTCTCCTCCTGAAGGGGGCGTTTGACTCCCTTCCTTCGCCTCTGTTGCTGCTCTCAGATATCCTCTCTCTCTCTCTCTCTCTCTCTCTCTCTCTCTCTCTCTCTCTCTCTCTCTCTCTCTCTCTCTCTCTCTCTCTCTCTCTCTCTCTCTCTCTCTCTCTCTCTCTCTCTCTCTCTCTCTCTCTCTGTTTCTCTTGCTCTTCCAATTTTTATCAATTTTTATCATTATCATTTTTTATCTTTCTCCTGTTGGGTTATTGTTGTCTGCGTTTCCTCTCTTGTCTCTCCTCCACGGGGGGGGGGGGGTTGTGTGCACACAGTGCCACTAAACCCTATGTGCTTCTCTGCACCTGTAAATACAATGATTAGCACCAATTTGAGTGCCTCGCTCAGTGAGGGAGGTCTGTTGTGCTCGGGGCGGAGTGCCCGTCTCGATGTTGTTGTTGTTAAAGATTCGCTACTTGGGATAAAAAGTTCCAAGTAGCACGGGCTATGGTGAGCCCGTAGGCGTCCCGATGTGGACCGGTGGACCGACGCCCACTGTCACGTCCCCCACTGGTGATGGAAGTAGTGCGGACGCCGGGGGCCATTTGGGTGAGGTTGTTGTCTTGTGAGGTAGTTAACAGGGCTTTGGACGGTGGTAGGGGGGGGGGGGGGGGATGGGGGGGTTAGGTCTTGTCTAGGCGTACTGAGTGTGTGTCGGGGTTGGGGGAGGAGGCTTGGGGAGGGGGGGTGGTGGTGAGGAGGGGTATGTAGGGAGGTGGTGCTGAGGTGGGGGAAGATGAGGAAGGGGAGGTAAAGGAGGGGTTGACGTAGGGAGGTGCTGAGGTGGGGAGAAGGGTTGAGGTCGGGTAGGGGCGGTGTGGTGGGGGGTGGGGTATCAGGTGGGGGTGTGGGGGTTGTCAGTCACCTGGCAGCACCAGTGGCCCGTGACTCTCTCTGATATGCAGTATTCTCTCTCTCTCTCTCTCTCTCTCTCTCTCTCTCTCTCTCTCTCTCTCTCTCTCTCTCTCTCTCTCTCTCTCTCTCTCTCTCTCTCTCTCTCTCTCTCTCTCTCTCTCTCTCTCTCTCTCTCTCTCTCTCTCTCTCTCTCTCTCTCTCTCACTACGTGTTGTTATCATCAGTACTTTATTTTTTGTTTGTAAATTCGTATAAAATCCATTGGGATGAAAATGTCACGACGGTGATACCTAATAACGTGAGATTTGTATAACAGTTATCACTATTTTTTCACATTTGTCAGAATATTTGTGTGTGCACTCGGCCCCGTAATGGGCCCCCTGGCCCCCGGGTGCCCCAGGTGAGGGGTCACTGGCACGGACATCCGCACGGAATGGCGGTGACACCTCAGGTCACGAGGTCACGTCACCGCGCGCGCGCACGCCCGAACATAAACACGGACAGGATGCTTATAATGTCTATAGTAAACACGTCCATGATCACACACACACTCCGAGCACACGCCCGGGAGGACGAGGGCACGTGGTGGAGGGCACGTGCGGGAGGGCACGTGAGGGAGGGCAGGTGGTGGAGGGCACGTGCGGGAGGGCACGTGAGGGAGGGCACGTGGTGGAGGGCACGTGCGGGAGGGCACGTGAGGGAGGGCACGTGGTGGAGGGCACGTGCGGGAGGGCACGTGAGGGAGGGCACGTGGTGGAGGGCACGTGCTGGAGGGCACGTGGCTCAGCAACGTGTCCTCTCCCCAACGTGTGTATAAGTTCCAAGTAGCACGGGCTATGGTGAGCCCGTAGTGGACTTACCTGGCACAGGAGCGGGGCAAGTAGCACGGGCTATGGTGAGCCCGTAGTGGACTTACCTGGCACAGGAGCGGGGCAAGTAGCACGGGCTATGGTGAGCCCGTAGTGGACTTACCTGGCACAGGAGCGGGGCAAGTAGCACGGGCTATGGTGAGCCCGTAGTGGACTTACCTGGCACAGGAGCGGTGCCTTGTCTCCTTGTGTGAGCGAGAATGACAGCTGTAACAGCTTTTATAGCATAAAGTCAAGTGTCCGGGGGAAGAGGTGCAATCATTAGATTAATAACGGCGTTACATAATCACCCAATTCGGTAATGACTGCCCTGAGGAGATATTACCAATTTGGACTATTGTTTATTAAAGTAGATTCAATTATTTTCTTCTGTGCTCCACGGACGGGCTTAGAGATCTGCTAGACATTACATATAGTGTAGTGGGGGATTGAGCACTCGTCCACAGGCGGTGGTTGTAATCTTTTAACACTTCTGGTGGGGTTTGGAGGTAGGGAAAGGAGTATAGGGCCAGCACAGCTCTACACGTGATACATACATACATACATACATACATACATACATACATACATACATACATACATACATACATACATACATACATACATACATACATACCGGCTCACCATAACCCGTGCTACTTGCCCCGCTCCTGTGCCAGGTAAGTTACGGGCTCACCATAGCCCGTGCTACTTGGAACTCGTTTCGTTTTTAGCTGAATCTGTAACAACAACACAACATACATACATACATACATACATACATACATACATACATACATACATACATACATACATACATACATACATACATACATACATACATACACACATACATACATACATACATACATACATACATACATACATACATACATACATACATACATACATACATACATACATACATACTGCATATACATATCTCGTGTAATTGTATACTTGTATAGTTACTAGTGATGAGAGGGGGGGGGGGAGGAGGGCACATGAATGGGTACAATGATGGCGTATAATGAGAAGATGATGATGTTTCAGATTTAGCTACTCAGAACGAAGTGTCCATGTAGCACGGGCTATGGTGAGCCCGTAAAAATGAGGAGGAGAAAGTGCCAATTAAGTAGCTATTAGCTTGCTCAAGATGTCTTCCCCAGGTCAAGGGGTCAACCCGGCCTCCTTATAGCACGTCGCATTTTGACGTATACGCTACCCCCCCCTCCCCCCTCCCCCCCTCCCCCCCTCCCCCCCTCCCCCCCCCCCCCCCCCCTCCCCCCCCCTCCCCCCCCCCCCCCCTCCCCCCCCCTCCCCCCCCCAAGAGGCCAAACATCGTCGTACTAGAAAATGGAAGCGGCTGGCGAAATTGACATGTTCTGTGCCGTTTTCTGTTTTGGGTTCTCTGGCAGGTTAGGAGATGAGGGTACGTTAGTACGACCGTTTCTTAACGTTGGGGTAACCTTAGGAGGACGGGGTGGATAGTGAAGCCCGCGGGACGGGGTGGATAGTGAAGCCCGCGGGACGGGGTGGATAGTGAAGCCCGCGGGACGGGGTGGATAGTGAAGCCCGCGGGACGGGGTGGATAGTGAAGCCCGCGGGACGGGGTGGATAGTGAAGCCCGCGGGACGGGGTGGATAGTGAAGCCCACGGGACGGGGTGGATAGTGAAGCC